TTGCCAAGTAACTCTCCACCTCTTTCTTGTTTTATCATAATATACACCATTAGTTCCAAAACAATTTTTGGTTGAATCGTAACGAATATAACCATCAAACAAATTAAATTGACGATTATCCAAGGTGTTATGGTTAGAGTGACTTATGATGGCCCATCGAGGACGTAACACGCGATGAAATGATTTTCCAAATCTATCCATACAATAATAACGAAGCCCATGTCCTTTAGTTCTTGCGTACCATGTTCGTGAGATAACAGTTTCATGATCCTGCACATCACAAAGCATGACACTGTCACGTTTATCGTTGAGTTTAATCTCAAGATACCTTTGGCCATCTTCTTCAAATTCACGGATCTGATTGCGAAGACCACCATGTCGATCACGTCGACCACCATACCAATCAGTCTTGTAAATTCGCATCTTATCTATCACCTTCCGGTATACTTTGAATATATATACACCACAAAAATTAGATAACCCTTTATGGTTATCTCCATTATTGCGTCACACAAATTTTAAATAAATTACCTTGATTTTTTACCGTGCTCTATAAAATGACTATCACAAGAATCTCCAACGCTTGTATCAACTGTGCAAAAAAAAAAAAACGTTGTGATCAGAATAAACCTTGTCGATATTGTGTATCAAACAACATCGAATGTGTCATTAAACCCCAAAAAAAACGTGGTCCAAAATCAAGACTTATTCCAAAACCTATTCGAACAAAACACGATATCAAATTTATAACCGAACAAGATGGATTCAAATGAAATTTATTATTATACGATTAAAACTGTTATCTTCTTGGGTAAAATATTCAACAAAAATCCAGATCAAGAAATCTATGATCTTGTCAAAAAAATCCTGAAAGATACCAAATGTACCAATAATATTCTTACGATGGCTCTTCTTTACATTTCAAGAATTAAAGAAATTGTACGTGGTTCTAAATCACTACCCGAGAATACCTATGTGGATGATATCTTATTTATTAACGGACGAAGAACAATGTTTATTGCTTCAATTATCCTATCCTTTAAATATAATTATGATAAATCCATTAAAAATAGTGAATTTTCTAGTTTATTAGGTATCAATTTACAAAATATCAATCAGTGCGAAAGAATACTTTTGAATTTATTGGATTATAATGTCAACGTAGAAATGGATGAATTTCATGAGACATATGTGAACATATTTAAATTTAACAATTGTCCATTTTGTAATCAATATATCTTATAAATAAATATATATAACTTAATAATCAAAAGATCGCAAAATTCTATTTACCATAATCTTAAAAAAATAACTTAATCATGATTCGAATTAATATTGAATTGTGAGTATTCCGATGTTTATAAAATAATATAAAATTATTTCAATAAACTTATTTTCTACCACGCTTATAGCGCGGTATTGACTTGATTTAAAATAAATGAATTAAATTTGATTGAATTTAAGTTGATTAAAATTAATTTGAATCAATGTTATTTAATAGTACCAAGATATGAAAATGCTCTCTTAAATACATTTAAAGATACTCGTACACTAATACTAAAAAGTAAACAATAACATCTTTATTGATTAATACATTCATAATACATCATCATATTGAATGAATTCATCAAATAATCTTTCATATTCATGATCTTCATCAATTTTTTCACATGTATCTTTCACTATAAGCGGTTGATCGTTAATAGATTTCTTAAACTGGATGGCTTGATTTTTGATATCATCATCATTTTTTAATCCAATAAAAAGTTTATCTTTCCACCGTTTATCTTCCCACCATGTGACCTTCCATCCACCTCTTGATACGTCATAGAATAACATATCAAAAATACCATTTGAGATATCATCCCTTTTACATTTTTTAATAGAAGATGAATAAATATTGGATAAGTTGAATCGACGATTATCCAATCTATTTCGATTAATGTGAGTTACAATCCTCCACTCTGGGCATTTTAAACGATGAAAAACTACCCCATTATAATCTTCGCAATGAATGTATCCTTTTCTCTTTTTGGCATAAACGCCACATCCTTGTCTTGTACGCCAAGTTCGTGAAATAATAAGTTCATAATCTTCGAGATCACAAAACATTACATATTTTGTATTAAGTTTAACCTCAATATATTCAACACCATTTTCTTTAAAGATGCGCATTTGATTGCGTAGTATCCCATGACAGTCGTGTATACCACCATACCAATCAGTTACGTATTCCTTTTCCATTTTTATCTTTCTATCGTTAAGATACCTGATACATTTATACTTTATAAAGTATTAGATAACCTTTTATGGTTATCTTTTTTTTTTTCAAATCACGCCATCTAAAGTTTGGCAATCTTGAATTTATCTATTCTATATAGAACACACAAATGAATGAAAAAGGATAGATGAATATCATGGGATACATAAGGCGTTACTGAAAGATATGATAGATAAGAATTTTACCATTTAAGGTTTATCAAATGTCTTGGCAAGACGTGATGAATTTTAAATACATCTTGTGTTCATACGAACGAATATTTTAAAAAAGGTCTTTTACATCGTTTGATTCAATTTCAAAACATTCAATTTTTAATCACACAAATCTTTAAAATCCTTCAATTAAATTTAATAAAATGTCTTCTGAAAATCAACGAACTCTTTCTTCTTGTGAGAAAGAATATCTCACTGAACAAGTTTCAAATATTTACGGTGAATTATTCAAACTTAAAAAAATCCTTTCCTATTACCAAATAACGATCATACTTATAATCGTTTTTTCTTTTATCGGATTCTTTATCATGGGATTATACATCAATAAACTTGACGCATTAAATCGAATATTACTTCAAGAACAAGTTGAAGTAAAAATTCGAATTGAGATGTTCAATGAACATATCGATATGTTTATTGATATCTTAAAGAAATACAAATTTTAAATCCGACGTTAAACACAATCCAGTCCAGGTCGTCGGTGCCCTGGCATTATCAAGAACATTTCTAATACACGAAAACAAAATAAAACTTGATCCACTTCAAATTTAATGAAGATATTTGTTGATTATTATTGTTCATTTGAAATCCGACGTTAAACACAATCCAGTCCAGGTCGTCGGTGCCCTGGCATTATTGCTTGAGAAAACTTACAAGACACTGAAATACCTAAATCAAATTCACGCAAGCATATTTTCAAATTGTTTCAAGAGTCAAAGATATTTATAAAATATTTTTTTGTACCAAATAATTGAGAGGTGAAAGACGATTGTTTAAAGAATAATTTTATTTAATTAGTGACAAATGTAAATATAAAATTGGAACGTATACACGAATTTATCTTCATCACATAAATAAAAGTTTGGCAAACTCAAATTTGATTAACTACTGTAATATAATATCGTGTTATAATTATCACATGAATAAAAGTTTGGCAAACTCGAATTTGATCAATATCGTGATATAATTATCACATGATTAAAAGTTTGGCAAACTAGAATTTGAACGATGAGTATAATATTTTGATATTTAAAAATATGATTATATATACATGTTTAAATTTAATAATAAATTGATTAGATATCATAATAACCAGAACGTGAATATGGACTAACTATAATATCTTTCCAATTATTATGTTGTACTAATTTATAGTATTTTGATTCTCGCATCTTCCATTCTATATTGTTTCTTGAGTCGTGTGTACTAATTATTAAGACAGGAATGGTGTTAAAATTAGCACCACGCCGTATCGCCTCTTGAAAACAATATAGACGACGATTATCAAGAGTATGTAATCTATTATTAATAAAGCAAGCCCTGATCTTTTCGATATCATCAGGACTTATAGTACCATTAACTAATTCATCAATAGTATCTTCTACTGATGTACAATTTCGAAAATACGTATTAATGCTTCGTTGAGAAAATAGTAATTCGAAAGGATTAATACGTGTTTCGAATGGTAAATCAATGAAAAATTCTATTGATAAATTATAAATATATAATATAAATATTATTATAACAAATAATAACAAAGTATATATTGTATTTAATAGAATAAATAAAATTAAAAATGATATAATATAATATTTTGATATATTATTTTCTTGAACGTCTTGATATTCCGTGTTATCTTGTCGATTATCTTCATTTTCATGATGAATATCTTCGTTTTCTTGAAGATCATTATCTTCGTTCCATGGGATATCGTCATCTTTCAATGTTTCCCATGGATTATCGTAATCTTTTTCATTATTGAATGATATTTCAGATTTGATTTCATTATAATTATCTTGTAATGATTTTTTGATTTTAATAAAAGGAATTTTTCGAGATAGTTTAAGGGATAATGGTTTAATAAGAGGCATGTTTGATTGGATATTTAACTTAAGAAAGTTGATCCGTCAGATCAAATTCCTTGACGTATTTATAACATATCGACATAAGTAATCTTAAAATCTTATTGGTTCATCATGAAGGAGGTAAAGATAGAATACGTAAATTCTTATCATAATCACAAGTTCAAGTGTAAATAAAAATAAATACACAAGTTTTCATCAAA